CCTCAGACACTTCCTAGCTGTGTGATCCCTACTCAAGTCTCTTAACCCTGTTTGTTTCAGTTCCTCCCCTGTAAAATGATCTGGAGAAGGAAATGGCAAGCCATTCCAGTATCTTTGCCAAGAAAACTCCAAATGGGGTCACAGAGTAGGGCACAACCAAATGATTGAACAACAAAATCAAATTGGTTTTTGTTATTATTGTTGTTCACACCACACCATTGAAGCGTATTGAACTAAAACGCAGGTGTTTTTCAACCCACATAAATTGCCGTCTGGCCATTTCTCTCCCATTCAACATTTGAGCAGTAGTTTTGCACTGGAGCATTGAATTTCATCCTGTTAGATCTGGCTCATTGAAATCTTTTGGGATCCTGATTCTGTCATCCAGCAACTAAGGTTAGCCTTGTGCTGGACCCCTAGAGGACGTCTCTTTTCAAGCTGACATCAGTCCATTTATATACAGTTCAGTTGGTAATGAATCAACCTGGCTGTCACACCTTCTAGCCTACATTTCTCCATCGTGTTCACAAGGACATTGGAAAAGACCAGCAAATGTCTTAATGAAATCCTCTATGCTGTGTCTATGCCATTGGCCTTTTCTGACCCCATTGGTAGCCAATACCCTTCCCAAAACTATTTTGTATTTATTCTCTATCTACTTGGAGGTAGACGTGTTATCTCCCAGACCGACTCCAAGCTTCTTGAAGGCAGGAACTGTTCCACTTTTGCTTTTATTCCCGGCACCTGCCGGGTAGGATTCTATATCAGCTGTATGTTAGATTTGTTTCGTATTCCAGTTCTTCTTTGGTGTTCAAACCTGTGATTTAATGATATAAGAAACTCTCATTACCAATGTAGATTGGTAACTGTACACAGTTTTTAGAGAGTTCTTGAGAGATTAAGTGATTTATCAAGAATCACCTCGGCATTGTGTGTCAGCGAAGGGACGTGAACCGAGGTCTTCCTGACTCTAAGATAGGTTCTCCATCCACTATGCTATGAAGCTTTGGTGTTATAAGCCATTCTGTTACATGGTCACAATGGGAAATGAAATGAGTCTGAGGTCTCTCTAATGACTATGAATCATTCCAGGGGTATCTCAGGGTATCTGGGCAGAATTAATTCCCTAAAGTGGATTAAAACTTCTTCAAGTATTTTTTCCCCTATAGAAATACTTTGATGGATCTGTGATCTCATCAATGTAAAGTATTCCCTTCAACAGTGAAGGTTGTGTCCCATCCATGCTTTCTCACCTCCTGTGAGATTGTTGGCCATGTTCTCCTGTAAATCCTTCACAGGGGCTCCACCTAATACATTGGGGGAACTCCTACCAAGTTCTCTTGACACAGGGTAAATAGCAGTGGATCAGGAATGCTGCCAGCTTTTTCCTTTTCCCCAGCAACAACATTTATATTTTTATATTTCTTTGAAAATATAGTGATCAAAATAACAGTGTATGAATTGGTTAAATCCTACTTACTTTTACTTACATACTGCATCAGCTGGTAAATTGAAGCAAGATATAAAGCAATACAATATCAAGACATAGATTATTGCCTTCTTTCTCTAATCTCACGTGTCTTCAAATCACTGATTAGTTTATTTTCATTCTTTCACCACGATAATATAAAAAAATACATCTAAATCTTTTCTCATTGTCAGTGACTAGGTCATACAAAAATTTAAACATAGAACAAGTTGCTTCTAAAGTTCTTTCCTGCTTCTAAGTTAATTATCTCTAAGCTAAGTGGCACAGTGAGTAAGAGAACCAGACCTGGAGCCAGGAAGACCTTGAGTTCAAAGCTAGACTTGGACACTTACTAGCTCTGGGTGACCCTGGGCAGGTCACTTAACTTCTATCTGCCTCAGTTTCCTCATTTGTAAAATGGGGATGATAATAATAGCGCTGACCTCCCAGGATCATTGTGAGGATCTAGTGAACTTTTTAAAAACGCTTTGAAAGACCTTAAAGTGCTATGTGAATGCTACCTGTTTTGTTAAACTATCCTAGTTGAGAGTTCACATAGCTTCCTAATATATATCAAAGGCTTGAATTTCACCTAAGAGAATTTTACTCTTTCTCTAAGAGGCTTTTCTCTGTATCTTCTCTCCTGACCTCACCAGCCCCATTCCTTTTCCTTTATCCCATTCCTTTTTCATAACCAAATACCCCCAAATGGAGGGCTATGTTGGATAATTACTGGCAGGCAAAAACCCTTGTAACAGATATATGTAGCGAAGCAAAACATATTCCCACACTAGTCATACTGAAAAAGTGTTATCAACAGAGGGTTTTGAAATACTACAGAAGTGATCTCATCTGCATCATACAATTTTGCAAAAAGCTTCCATTTTAATGGACTGTTGGTTTTTTAAATGAAATTATTTATTGTTATAACTAAAATACTTTGTAGCTTTCTACTTGTGTTTCTTGATACAAGTGACTGTACATTTTGGACACATTGAAAGCTTTACAAAGGGTCACATTTTTAGCCAGGTCTTAAGGCCCTGTGTTTTCTCCTGACATAGATTATGCTCTGTCGGAAGAGAATCCGATAGAACTCTTCCACATTATGTAATGATAATAAGGTTTATAAAGCACTTTGTGTTTTCTTATTAAGATCCTTAAAGCAAGGGGTGCGGGGTGGGAAGTACTGCTGTTATCTACTTTTCACAGATAAGAAAACTCTTGAGGCTGATAATGGTTTAATAATTTATCTTGTACCTAGGTGGGATAGGATTCAAACTCAGGTCTTCTTAACTACTAGTTTAGTACTCCATCAGCTGTGCCACCTAATTGCCTTTATCATTTTAATTTAAAAAAGAAATACAATCTTCCTCTTATGTTGAAATTTTCTCATGTTAAAATTTTCTCTTGCCATAATCAGCAACAGGTTTGCAAAATAACACATTTTCCCTAACATGAGTTTCAAAAATGTTTTTTATGTATATAATGAACATCTTTAATTACATTGTTGCTTCATCAGCATGTGATGCAAAAGAGGAAGATTTTGGTTTCACATCTAATTGGTAACAAAGGCTTTTGGTGAAATGAGTAATTCTACTTCCCATTGTATATCAATGTATCAAACTGTATTATTCCCAGTGTATTAATTAATATGCATTAATTAATCTATAAGTAGAATCACTTGAATCTTTTTTATATATGATTCCTCAAGCCCATGTCTCAACCTTAGAGTCTTTTCAGGCAGCATCAATGTTTATCATGTTGAATAAGACTTTTCACAGTTAACAATTCTCAATTGCTTATTTCTATAATGCAAGCCAACTCTGTGACCATAGACATCAGAATTTGCCTTTTCTTATGAAAAGTAGCTAATTTTCTCTGGGGAGAAAAATGTTTTAGCAACATAGTCACCATTTACACTTTCGGCATATGTCAGTCTATTATATGCTAAAGCATTTATACAAAGCAAATGTAGTGGCCTTTCCACTTCTTCAAAAATAGCCCTTCTGAATCCAAGTGATAAATATATAGTAGATTATATTTTCTGGATTTGGGCTTTTTTTTTAACTTTGTGTTTCCAAAACTGTTGAAATTGTCTCCCGTCTTTGCTTCTATTAGTCTTAGCTCTTCAAGTGAATTTTCTCCTGAAGCCTGCTGTGTATTTATCAATCATGAAAGCATATTAACTTTGCTTTAAAAGTCCAAGACAATTAAAACTTGAAGAAATTGAATTTGAGTTTAATCATTTAAAACAGCATGATTATCTCTGACCATTCTTGAGTTATTTCAGTTTTTCAGAATTTGCAGGGTTTTGTTTGTTTTTGAAAGCAGCTTATAATGTGCTTCACAAAATGAATGACATGTAGAAACTTAACATTATGATGCTTTTTAATTTCCACACAAAGGCTGTTCAACTTTGAGTTTACACATTGCAATGCAGCATGACATTTAGCTGCTTTGTGAACCTATATTGTAGTCAAAAATAGTCAGTAATTTTGGCTGTTGCATCCCATCTTTCTCCCCAGTTTTGAAAACTGTACAACGTAGACCTTTCTCTACTTGTGTGATACCACATCAGTAGGATTTCCACGCCTTACCAGAATTTAAACAACCTGTAATTCTTTTTTTTTTTTAAATGGGCACACACAAAAATGAACATTTCTATATACAATGTGGAGCATAAAAAGACGGTTGGGTATGGAGAAACTGCAGTTCTTTACTTAATAAAATTGTAGCCTGAGGCCTAGGAGCTAAGCTACAATTTTGTCACTAAATCTCATCTTCCAGATCCTCCCATCTCCCAGGGGCCATAAGAAAAGACATTTATATAAGGGTGACTTTGGAGTTGGAGGACCTGGGTTCAAATCTTGCCTCTGATAATACTACCTCTGTGGCCTTGGGCAAGTGATCTCTTTGTTCCTTATTTGCTAAAGCTGTCCTCTAAGACGTTTTCTAGCTCCAAATCTGTGATCGGCTGAGAATCCATGAGGCCTCTGCTGTTACCAAGTCTTAACATTTCAGAAATGGCCCTCCAGTCCTTGAGTACTCTGTTTGCTGTTCGTTTTTGTTTACCACGAGTGATGATATGGATATTTTTCTGCACCTGGTTTCTAATCAGGGGTTTTCCTTAAAGGGGGAACTTGCAGAAAATATATTTCCCATAAATAGGCCTGGTTCCTGCTCTGGTCTGACACTATTCCGGTTTTCATATCTTATCAGGATATCATATTCTGTTTCCATTTCAGGGGAAACCTAACAGTCCGGAGGGCATTTTACAGTTTTTCCCCAAAGAAACTTCATACACATCATCTTGGGAGAAGAGGTCTGCTGGTGATGAACTCTGTGACCTTAGATCACTCTTCTAGATCATTTTTCTGGCCCTCAGTCTTCCTCATATGCAAAATGGAAGGATGGTTATAAATCTTTGATTTTATGAACTGGAAAGGGTGTGGCATCAGAATGTAAGATCAAGCCAGAAATGCATATTTGATCAGTATACAGTGTCTTGACGCATATTTCATTTTTATTTCAGATATAACTGCTAGTGGGCTCCTTTTGGATTCTGAAAATCACATTGTATTTTGCTTCCATTGGGTTGGTCTCCTGAACTTTTAAGCACCATGCAGCGGAGGTCAAGAGGAATCCATCAAGGCCTGCTTTTACTTTTTTTTCAAATCATGCAGGTTGGGATCACCAATATCCCCCCTGTCACTCTGGCATGTATAGGCCTCAACATCTGGCTTTTCCTCAACCCCCTGAAGCCCTCCAACTGGCTCTGCCTAAGTGTGGAATCATGTTATAAGGGAAAAGATTGGCAGCGCCTGCTGCTTTCTCCTTTCCACCATGCAGATGACTGGCATTTATATTTCAACATGGTGTCCATGCTGTGGAAAGGGCTAACACTGGAAAGACGACTGGGAAGTATTTGGTTTGCCTACATCATCGCGGTCTTCTCCATGCTCACTGGTGTGGTATACTTGGCATTAGAATATACTGTTGCAGAACTTCTAGATCAACCTGCCTTCAAATTATATTGTGCTATCGGTTTCTCAGGTAAGGCAGGATAACCTTTGGAGCAGCATTTATGAAGATAGTCAGGGATGGGGGATGGATTGTGTCCTTTCACTAGGTAGTGTGTTCTCCATGGCTAGTGGCCATTTCATTACTATCTAGGAAGGACATTGGGAAGGTAGAGAGAACATTCGAAGGGGGTAGCCAGAAATGGTGGAAGTCCTTGAGTCTTGCCTATATGAAGATTGCTTGAAGGAACTTGGGTATGGTTAGCCTGAAAAAAGTAGCTGGATTCAAGTATTTGTAGGGCTGACATGGAGAAGGGAGAATTCTATTTGATCTGCTTATGCCCAGAAGGCAGAACCAGAAATAGTGAGTGGAAGGTGGAAAGAGGCAAATTTGATTTCAGGAAAATATCCCAACAATTAGAGGTGTCCAAAAATGGAATGGATTGCTTGAGAAGGGAATTAATGAATAAATGAAAAATATATTAAAATATTAAATAGATTAATATATTAAAATATATATTAAGCACCTACTCTGTGTCAAATACTGAGGATTCAAAGATAAAAAAAGAAAAGTAGTCCCTGTTCTCAAGAAGTTGTATTCCAATGGAGAGACTAATTAGATATAGACGTGGATAGAAATAAATAGATATGGATAGAGATAAAGGGTAGGGGTGGTCAGTCTCCAGTCCTTGAGTACTCGTTTTGCTTATTCGTTTTTGTTTACCACAAGTGATGATATGGATATTTTTCTGCACCTGGTTTCTAGTCAGGAGCTTTCCTTGAAGGAGGAACTTGCAGAAAATGTATTTCCCATAAACAGACCTGGTTCCCGCTCTGATCTGACACTATTCTGGCTTTCATATCTTATCAGGATATTATATTCTGTTTCCATTTCAGGGGAAACCTAACAGTCTGGAGGGCATTTTACAGTTTTCCCCCAAAGACCCTTCACATACATCATCTTGGGAGGGGAGCTCTAGTTGGAAAATGACAAGGGATACAGGGCAATAGATTGAAAATAGCCTATCTATAAGGGACTAGGTGTCTGGGGTAGAGGGGAAGCCCCCCAAAGGAGCAGGAAGAGATGGCCAGAAAGGCAAGAGTGAAGTGTATCATGGCTGGGGTTTGCTGAAAGAATGGTCCAAGAAAGGCATTAAAAAATATAAGTGAATTTCTTTCCTCCACAACCCCCATGCTCGGGAGGAACTCAAGCAGAAGCTGGATGATCACTTCTTGGGTGTATTGCAGTGGAGAACTTTGTGGAGAGAGACAGAGGTGGTATATGGGCGGGGAAAGATGATCTTTGAGATATCTTCTAACCTTGACATTCTTCGATTCAGGTATGGAGTCAAGAATGACCAGCATCCTAGGGAAGGGAAAGAAGCCCAGTATGGTAGACAAAGCCTGATTTGGAGTCAGGAGATTTTGGGTCACCTACCCAATTCTCTCACTCAGTGTGAGACTCCTGTCCAATTCACTTAGCCTCAGTTTCCTCATCTGTAAAGTAAGGTTGAACTCGATGATCTTTAAAGTCCCTACCAGAGTTAAGAGCAAGGCAGAACCTCGCCGGCAATGATGAATCTGAATTAAGGCCAAGAGGAACATAGTTTTTCTTCAGTCCTTTCCGCTGTGGCTTGATATTATAGATTAGATATTATAGATATAGATATTACAAATTATAGATATTAGGCCATAGAGAGTGGCTTGGTGCTGAGTGATGACTAGAATCCTAGAAGTCTGCTTTGGTATCACCAAATGGTGCTGGAATATAGGAGGGATAATTTATACCAATGGCATTCACAGAGTCCAGAAGACCTGGGTTCACATCCCTTCTCTGACATATGCCTAGGTGACCCTTGGTATTTGTCAGTGGCATTCATAGGAATCATTAGATATTGGTGTTGAATTGCTTGTGATGAGGATTTTTTCAAAGCTGAGTATTGCTTTGACCAACTCCTATTTCTTAACTTCTCCCTTTTTTAAAAAAAATATAGATTTTCTTGTGCTGAAGTTGTTAGTGTGATTTAAATTGTGTATTTTAAGATTTAGGATATAGATTGAAGGAGGAGAGAAATGCTTCATAAAAATGTTGAAGAGAGGGGCAGCTAGGTACCACAGTGGCTAGAGCACTGGACCTGGAGTCAGGAGAACCTGAGTTCAAATTTGGCCTTAGACATATAACACTCGCTAGCTGTGTGACTTTGGGCAAGTCACTTAACCCTAATTACCTCACCAAGAAAATGTTGAAGAGAATCAATTGCCTCTTTCCCCAACTCTATTTTACCCTAAACATCATTCCCTTCCCTGAGTTCTTATGCCATAGTAAGTCTGAGAAGTACTTTCTGATGGTGATATAATAATAATAATTATAATAATAATAGTGATTATAATTTATATAGTACCTCAAGATTTGCAAAGAGCTTCTCATGTACTATTTCATTTGGTCTTCAAATGCTGTTATGCTCTTTTATAGATAAGGAAACTGAAACTAATAGAGGATAAGTGATTTGCCCAGAGTCACATAGGTAGTAAGCATCTGAGGTAGGATTTCAATCCAGGCCTGCCTCACTCCAGGTCCAGTGTTGTATCTCCTATGCCATCTAGTTGTTTCCCATTTCTCCTTGAAGTCAGGAAGGGAGCATACAGTTGTGGGCCTAAGAGCCTATTAGTAACACATTAACTTCTGATTTAAATTAGCCAGAAGAATAATTTCATTGAATCATTGTCTTCCTCCAAAAAGCTAGCTTGACAGTTTTAGGGGAAATAAAGAATCATTCCTGAGTAGTCCTTCTTTTGCTTTGAATTGGTTTTGTTTATACAATTGCTGATACCATCTGTGTATAGTGTGTGTTTTATTTTTTAAATAATGTGTGTTTGTGCTTTTTCTTCCTTTTTAGGAGTCCTGTTTGCCTTGAAGGTTCTTAACAACAGTTATAACCCTGGAGGACACACGAATGTTATGGGCATGTACATACCCAACAAGTATGCCTGTTGGGTAGAACTGGTGATGATTCATTTGCTGTCTCCAAAGTAAGTGTTCGCTTTTTTTTGAGAATCAAAATGGAGGTGCTCAATGTGGGCTGTGAAATGCTTCCATAGAAATGGGGTTTAACTCCTGTTTAGTTGGTGGAGAGTGTTAACATGGCCACCTCTAATGATGGTAGTGATGAGAAGGAAGACTCACAAAATGTTTGATCTGGAAGAGATCTTAGAGCTCATCCGGTTCAGCCTTATTGTTTTACAGGTGAAGAAATTGAAACTCCCAGAGATTCAATGGATTAGACAAGGCCACACAAGTAGTGGCAGAATCAGGGCTAGAATCTAAGCCCCTATTGGCACAATACCACGATCCCTCCTTCTTTTTGTTTGTTTTGTTTTATTGGGTCCTTACTCTTGAATGAAAAGGGGAGCTATTTGAGAGGATCCCATCTTCGCCATCATTACTCAAAACAGCACTAGCAATCGATTAACCAGTAAGCATTTTTCACTGGGGCAGCAAGGTGGCAGAGTGGGTAGAGTCGGGAAGATCTGAGCTCAGCTTCAGCTTCAGACACTTACTAGCTGAGTGACCTGGGACAAGACACTTAATCCCTTTTAGTCTTAGTTTCCTCATCTGTAAAATGGGCATGATAATAATAGCAGCCTCTCTTAAAGAATTATCAAGTGAATTAGATGAGGAAGTATTTATAAAGCGCTGTGTAAATGCTATCATCGGTCATTAATTATTATTATCTTATTGTATACCAGATATTTTGGTGGGAGTAAAAAGACAAAAATGAAGCAATCTGTGCCCTCAAGATACTTAATGTTTTACTGGGGGAGATAACATATATATGTACATGCAAAGTGTTTTGAGAGGGTGCACTGTTACTATGAAAGTAGACTCATTTTTGTTGTGGGCATCCTACAACATCACTTGGGAAAGAGAGGAGACTGTGGAATGACAGAGGAGAAATTAGAGATTAAAGAAGAAGTCTTGGGAAAGGGGATCATGAACTTATAGATGTAGAGCAGGAGGAGACCCTGGAAGCCATCTAGTCCAACTTGACTTATTCCTGAGTCACACAGATAGCAAGTGAGTGAGCCAGGATTTGAACCCAGGGTCATCTGATTTCAAATCCAGTTCTCTTCCCTTGCTGCCTCTCAATGTTTTGGGATTTTTCTTCATTTCATAAGAGTGTGTTAGCCTTTATTTGCGAATATTCTTTCTTTGCAGGCCTGACAGGCTGTGAGATTGTGTAGTTTTCCAGCCTTCAGTTTCCCTTTAGTGCTGATTCCTGGTCTTGGACAGCCATCATTTGAAACGTATTGTTCTCCAGTGGCATTTTAGCTAAGAGCATAACAGAATCATCAGAGTTTTCCCTTTCAAAAAGGTCCAAGAATGTCCGACCTTTTATCATTTGAATCGTTCTTTCTCACCTTGTCACACCAAAGGGCCTCTGACGGGTTTGATCTAGCTGGGATGGAAAGCAGCGGCTTTCTCTAGAGACACTTAGAAATGACAGTCTCCAGCTAACATTCATATGCAAATTAGTTTTCTTGGCACTTGAACTTTGAGATCATGTCATGAATCTATTGAACGGCAAGATCCTTTAGCATTCTTCTGCCACTGTTTCTGAGGAATTCTGCCGTACTTCTTTCTTATCATTAAAAAGGCATAGCTTTGTTTTAAGTGGTATGCTTCACTGTATGGGGAAAGACTTGACATATTGAGCAGGGAAATGATGTCAAATTTCTCTTCCTTCAGGTTTGCAAGAACAGCGCTTTAGATTTTCAAGAGTAGAGGCTTTGAAGGATAACTTCGTATACCCAGACATCTGCATATGTATATGTACAGATGAGGTCTCAGGAAAACAATGCACAAGGGCAGGGGGTTGAGAGTAACTGACAACAGTCCAGTGGGAACATGACAGCGATAACTTTTTCGTCTTTGTTTTATGATTTTCATTTTGATAACCAATCAGAGTTTTCATTAGACATACTCTGTATTTCTTTAGATTAGAGCCCGCCTTTGTTGAGAGAATGGAGGACTTGCCCTTTGGAAGGGAAAGATAGCCTTTTGACACAGCTATGTTAACGGAATGCTGGCCTGAAGAAAACAGTCAGTGTTGGGTTGTGTTCTGCGCTGCTGACTTTCCCAGACACACTGACTACCACTTCAGATGGTTAACCATTAATCCTGCTAAGATTCATGAAAGCCATTAGACAGGTTATATTGGCAGTCATGTGTCCTATCATTAACTTGTGTCCTGCCCTCTGAAGTCATATTGTATAGAAATACTGACTTTTATTTAAATAAGGCTTATTATACTTAATGGAATGCTTTCATTGTACATTACCTCAGGAGAAGGTTCCCCAGCTTTATAGAGGGAGGAAATTCTATTCATTTCCCCAAGGATTTGTGATTGCTGTGAAATAAAGCACCTACTATGTGAGGGGCACTGGGAGTACAAAAGAAAAAGCAAAACGGCAGTCCCAAGAATTGGACATTCTAGTGGGGAAGAAATAGCACATGTTACAGATGAGAGCTAGGGAAGTCTGTAGGGCCGCAGTTCTTAATCTGCGGGGTCTGTGAATTTGTGTGTGTGTGTGTGTGTGTGTGTGTGTGTGTGTGTGTTTTAAAGTATTTCAAAATAATCCTGTACCTTTGTAATTCTATGTATTTTCTTTTATGCTTTTGAAAACATCATTCTGAGAAGGACTGGCAAGGCTTCAGCAGGCTGCTGAGGGGTCCATAGCACACAAAAGGTTAGGAACCCCTGGTATAGTGGCAAGAGCACAGAATATGGAACCAGGAGACCTGGGGCTTTGGGCAAGCCTCTCAGTTTTCTCATCCCCAAATTGACGGTTTTGTAGCTCTCAGGTTTCTTTTAACTCTAACTCTTGTGGCTTCTGAGGAGGAAGAGGATTGCTAAGGAGCTGAGTTTGGTGGGGTGAAGGGTGCTGAGGTGGGCAGCTTCTGGACAGCTTCATTTTCGCTCCCTTCCCCATTCTGAACATGCCCATAAATTTGAAGGCAGGAATGTCATAGGAGCTGTCATTTCACAATTGACCAGGTTGGTTACCTGGTTGGGGATACCTGAATTCTCTTATTTAACCTCAGAACTGCCTTGTTAGGCATATTCAGTAGGTATTACTACCCCTATTCTGGGCTAGACCTGACTCAGGCCACGTCCAGTGATTTGGATCACGACACAGGATTGGAACAAAATGAGACGCTCACACACTATCTAATGTTTACCCCCTCCCCCCCAAAAAAAGTTTCCTTAATGGTAGCATCTCCTCATCTCCAAATGAAAATGCATCTGATTAGAAGGTGTGTGCTGACTCACTTCCTTGGCATCATTACATATATCTAATTTGAGGGACATGGACTCCTGTTAGACTAAGCTTTTTATGCCCCAAGCAACCCAGAAGCTTCAACAATGGCTTGAGTGAGCCCTACTCCCCTTGAAACCATCAGGGCTCAGGTATGACTTCCCTACCTGTCCGGGAAAAACCAGCCAGCTCACGTGTCAAGGACCCTGGTCAGTGTGGCTCCTGCCACAAGCTCTGTCTGGCAGATGAGGAAGCTAATACTCAGAGAGGTTGTGGCTTTCTCAAAATAACACAGCCAACTTGTTGATAGAACTCAGACTTCCTGACTCCTAGCCCAGTACCCTTACCACAGTATCACATACCAGCATCATATAAACACTCAGTGTTCACAGAAAAAAATAACACTTATGCAGTGTACCCACAAACAGGCCTCTGAAAGACCTCATCATTTATAAGTGTTCCATTTGGACTCCATGCTGTACTTTCTTCATGATGGTGGTGAATACCTTTGGTGACCACATATCTCTCTTTTTTATGCCCCTAATGATAATTATGGGATTGTTGAGCAAAGCCCCCTTTTCCATAACACTTAACACTTTCTGTGAAATAATCCTGTGAGTTGGGCAGCCTGAATATTTCCTCCCCTACCATACAGATGAGGAAACTGTATAGGTGGTTTGCCTGAGGCCGCATCCAGCTAATGGTAGAGCCTGGATTGGTATCTGGGAATAGCATCTGTGGGTCCAGTGTTCTTTCTGCTAGTTATTGCCACCTCCAACATTACTGTGATTGATCACTTCTGAGACCGTAGACCGCTTGGTGGCACCATAATTGAGATGTTGCTGATTTGTAATGAGCAATTGAACTTTGCCCCTCCTCAAAAAGTATTTGCTGAATGAATGAATGATTGGATTAGCTTTTAAAGTGCATTGCTTCCGTCATTATAAAAAGTAAGCGATAAAACCTGCTGGTGCTTACTGGTAGATTCCCAAATTATAACTGACGTTAAATTCCACATTGTCTAATAATTCTGTGCAACCATAGGACCAAAAACCGTTTGTAATGATTTTTTTCAAAAAATAAAATGGAGCTAATAACAAAGCTTGTTGTACTTTGAGTTCTTAACGAATTCTAGGATGAGAGAACAAACTTTGGTTCCAGAACTGCAGAATGTTTAACTCTGCCTGAATCGGTGCCTTCAAAGGGCTCCAGCAAAAGGGAAATGTTTTGGATCCATTGATGTCTCAGCCATGTCAAAATGGAGTGAAAATTATGCTGGAGAGAATGTAGCCCAAATCTTTCTACCCAATAGCCCAGTCCTGGTCCTCCTGTTTAGTGTATTGGTGACTGTCGGAGCAGGAAATCGGGCAGACCAGGTTGTTGTGGACCTTTGAGGGCAGAACCCACCATCACTATTTGTTTGTGATCTTGGCAATTAGCATTCAGACCTAATACTTTGTCACCTTCTCTAGAGCTTGCCAGTGGCCAGAACTAAGAGAGAGAGAGAGTGAGCAGAATTTCTCTGTCCTTGAATAGAAATCTGTGGTCACAAACAGAGGCAGAGTACATGCCAGCTAGAGTTCTTGCCTAGCCATGCATTAATGACCAGACGTAGGCTTTCTCAGTTTAGGTCTTCCTTCAACCAGTATACATCCCAAACCTTCATCACCTTTAGTGAGTGGTTTGGCCAACTGCAGTGAACCTTCCTCCCC